TACAGGGGCCCAAGGACTTTGTATCTTCTATGGCTTTCCCAGGCCACAGCAGAGAGCTGGATTGAAAGTTTAGCTGCTGAGACTTAAACTGGCACTCATATGGGATGCCGGCACTGCAGGTGGCAGCTTTACCTGCTATGCCACAGCTCCATCCCCGATCAAGGTGACTATTGATAATTAACAATTTGTCCCTGCCATTTGCGCATTAATATTCCTATTGTTTACTTTGGATTTTCTTTGTACCTTTACTTGGAGATTTTCTGCCTTCACATTCTTTAATATTGATGATCATATTTCTGTGTTTGCGTATAGCACATCCTTAAGCATCTTTTGTAAGGCTGGAAGAATGGTGACAAATTCTTTTTTTAAGATTTATTTACTTATTTGAAAGTCAGAGGAACACTGAGAGAGAAGGAGAGACAGAGACAGAGGTCTTCCAAACCGCTGGTTCTCTTCCCAATTGGCCACAACAACCAGAGCTGCGCTAATCCGAAGCCAGGAGCCAGGATTTTCTTCCGGGTCTCCCACGTGGGTGCAGGGGCCCAAGGACTTGAGCCAGTTTGTACTGCTTTCCTGGGCCATAAGAGAGCTGGATAGGAAGTGGAGCATCCTGTACTCAAACTGGCACCCATGTTGAATGCCGACACTGTGGGTGGCGGTTTTGTCTACTATGCCGCAGTGCCAATCCCAACAAATTCTTCCAATTTCTGTTTGTGGTAAAGAGTCTTTATTTACCCTTTATTCAAAAATCAGAACTTTGCTGGCTATAGTATTCTGGGTTGGCAGGTTTTTTTTTTTTTTCCTCTTAAACTTGCAAACTTGCACTATATCTCACCATTATCTCCTAGCCTATAGGGTTTCTGATGAGAAGTCCGGAGCCAGGAGCTTCTTTCCAGGTCTCTCACATGGGGAACAAGTTCCCCGGGAGTTTGGGCCATCTTCCACTACTTTCCCTGGTGCATTAGCAGGGGAGTGGAATGGAAGTGAAGCAGCCAGGACTTGAACCAGAGCTCACTTGGGATGCTGGCACCACCAGCTGCGGCTTAACCTGCTATGCTACAGCACTGGCCCTGATCATTTCCTTTGGTACAGATGTTTCTAATTTTAATGTAATTCATGTTAATAAGTCTTTGTTTTATGAGTAATATGCTTGATCTTTACCTGCCACCAAGGTCCTGCAGTTTATTTCCTATGTTATCTTCCAGACGTTGCACTATTTTATTTTTCACATAGATTATTATCTTCCTGGAATTAATTTTGGTGCAAGGTACAATATAGAAGTCAGTTGTTTTCCCATGTATATAGTCAGTGACCTTCACCAATTATTGAAAACATTCAATTATTAATATTTTCCTTTTTTTAAAAAAAGTTTATTTATTTGAAAAGCAGAGTTATAGAGAGGCAGAGAGAGAAATCTTCCATCTGCTGGTTCTCTCCCCAAATGGCTGCAATTGCCAGAGCTGAGCTAACTAAAGCCAGGAGCCAGGAGCTTCCTCCAGGTCTCCCACATGGGTGCAGGGGCCCACAGACTTGGGCCATCTTCCACCGCTTTCCCAGGTGCATTAGCAGGAAGGTGGATCAGAAATGGAGTAGTCAAGACTTGAAACAATGCCCATATGAGATGCTGGCACTGCAAGCTGGGTCTTTAACTTGCTGCCCCACAGCGCTGTCCCCTGTTAATATTTTCTTTCAGTGGCACCCTTGTCACAACTTAATTATGTATATATATGTATTTTTACTTCTAGACTCAACCCTGATGCTTTGATTTCTTTGTCTAATTTTGTGTCACTTCTGACAATATTGAACTTTACCTGAGCTCTGTAGCCCAGAAACACAGGGACAGAGGGATCCTGCATGCTTCTCTTTCTCAGAAATAGTTTATTGCAAACTGTTGAAATCCATACTTGATGTATACTAAGCTGATCTTCTGTATATTAAGATAATCAAAAATGAATCTTGATGTGAATGGAAGGGGAGAGGGAGTGGGAAAGGGGAGGGTTGTGGGTGGGAGGGACGGTATGGGGGGGAAGCCATTGTAATCCATAAGTCGTACTTTGGAAATTTATATGCATTAAATAAAAGTTTAAAAAAATATATTTAAAAAATAAAAAAAAAGAAATAGTTTATTGCAAAGAACAATTCTTCCCCAGATGACTTAGATAATACTCACCTTGCCAGTTTGACTTGAGAGCACTAATAGCCACATATTCATCCTAAATGCACCTGCTAATTGAAGTGTCCATCTTTGTTATTTAAATACCTTTATAAAAAATAAGACTTCTTATATCTCTGTGCTTAGAGCCAGGTACTCAGGCAAAACTTCTGCAGAGCCTGGGAGATTGGGATGCTTTCTTCATTGCTTAACTTCCAATGAAATGGCTCCAAAAGAACTTAAGGAAAAACTTTGATTTTTAAAGCAGGCAAGAATCCTATTGACTTTTTAAATAGGATTTTATATAGGTACATATATTACACGTACACACATTTGTATGAATCTGAAAAGGATAGAAAAGAGTTTGTCACTACAATTTCTCTAATGGAAATGCTTCAAGGAAAGTGAGGTAGGGGAAATATCTTTCCCACACTTACCCTTACAATCTCACCTTTTTGTTATTTCAGACACACTCCCTCCAAATTTCCATTTTTGTTACAGAGGTGTTTAGCTGAAATATTTATCTGAATTGAACCATCAAAAGCAAGTATTTATTAACTGACTTGATCAATTTAATTAAGCTTGTCTCCTCCCACAAGAACCTGAACTTTGAACCTTCAGCCACCCAAAGTGGCATGCAGAATAGCTGCTCCTTAGCTCTCCTTACTTTGCCCTATAAAATAAATAGTACTCCAAAGAAAGATAGTCCCTGAAGCTTATTTTCTTTTTCCTATAAAAGAAGAGCTATTGATCTGGCACTGTGGTATAGTGAGTTAAGCGACCACTTCGAATACCTGGCATCTCATATCTGGGTACTAGTTGGAGTCCCAGCTGCTCCTCTCCTGAACCTGCTTCCTGTTAATGTGCCTGGGAAGGTAGCAGATGGTGGTCCAAGTACTTAGGCCCCTGCCACTCCTGCGAGGAGACCAGGATGGAGTTGCTGGCTCTTCTCTTTGGCCTGGTCCAATCCAGTGGCTGCTACAGCCATTTAGGAATTGAACCTGAAGAAAGATCTCTGTCTGTCCTTTTCTCTGTTGCTATGCCTTTCTAATAAAGAAATCTTTGAAAAAGGAAAGAAGGGAGGAAGGAAGGAAGCCTGTTTCCACCTGACCCCTCAAATGTTTGCATCTTATCAGAACATTTTTCTTATTCCAATAGTCTGCTGCCCCTTGTTGCAGTTTCCTTTTGAATAATTTCTATCTTTGGTAAGTCCAGTTTTGTTTTCATTTAACAATACCATGCCTTACTTGCTATCATGGCTTTAAAATACATGTTAATATCTGGTTGAGTAAATTTTTCCAGTTTGTCAATGCAGAGTTTTTATTTTGGTGAACTTTTCCCAAGGAAATTATTCAAAGTAAGTAAAATAGTTCATATTTATCACATTATCTATCAAAACTGAAATGCATAAATTGTGATTGATTTAAAAAGGTAGAATATTAAGTTTCCCTTAAAACAAATGACCAGATGATGATTCAAGGACAACCACCATACCACTCAACAGGCCTTAAATGATAAAATGTAAGAGAGAGAAATAAATGCTAAAAAGACTAGATTCGAGCCGGTGCTGTGGCATAGTGGATAAAGCCACCGCCTGCTATGCAGGCACTCCCATATGGGTGCCAGTTGGAGTCCCAGATGCTCCACGTCTGATCCAGCTCTCTGCTATGCCTGGGAAAGCAGCAGAAGATGGTCCAAGTACTTGGGCCCCTGCACTCGCATGGGAGACCTGGAAGAATCTCCTAGCTCCTGGCTTTGGATTGGTGCAGCTCTGGCCATTGCAGCCAATTGGGGAGTGAACCAGCAGATGGAAGACATCTCTTTCTCTGCCTCACCTTCTCTCTTTGTGTAACTCTGACCTTTAAATAAAAAAAAAATAAGTCTTTAAAAAAAGGACTAGATTCAGCAATCAAAAATGTAGAAATTCTGAAAAGTTGCTGGAAGATAAAATATAGATGAAATTAAACTTACAAAAAGATAAGGGCAGAGGATACCAAAGTTCAAATAATATGCAAAAGAAAAGTGATATAAAGATGTAAGTGGGTGCTGGTGTTGTGGGTTAGCAGGTTAAGCCACATCCTGTGTTGCTGGCATTCCATATGAGTGCCAGTTCAAATCCCAGTTGCCCCACTTCCAATCTAACTCCATGCTAATGTGGCTGGGAAATCAGTGGAAGATGACCCAAGTACTTGGACCCCTGCCATTAATGTAGGAGACCCAGATGAAGCTCCTGCCTTCAGCTTAGCCCAGCCCTGGCCGTTGCAGCCATTTGGGAAGTGAACTAGCAAATGGAAAAATTTCTCTCTCTCTCTGTCTCTCTCTCCTTCTCTATCTGAAAATCTGCATACCAAATAAATAAATCCTAAAACAGATATGGAAAAGGTTCTAAAGTGGTTGTAGCAATATGATCATCTAGAATTAGTAAATTCAACCAGAGAGATCAAATAAGGACTATATAAATCAGCAGTTTTATTAATTTTAGAATTATTCAACACAGCCTAAATACCAATGCCACTCTATATTCTCCCAACTATACTGTTAGTAGAGATATTAGACATGAAACTAAGACTATGGTAGGAATTCTGACACCAAAAATTTTCAAAGGAGCTTGAGAAAAGAGAAGCAAAATGAAATATGATCCATCTCCCCCTGCCCTCACCAAAGGAATGAGGAGCTCCCAGAACCAAGAGCTAAAATAGCTACAAACTCCATCTTACCCTGCATGCTACAGCTTCTCCCCAACTACAGAACCTTTATCTATAAAGTGGACATTGTCAAATTGTGATTGAATCAATGTGGGAAATGTAATGTTCTGAAATATGACAGTTTCTTTGCACTTATCTTGTAGGTTTACTATATTCTTTCACGGTGCCCTTTTGGCATAGAAGATGGGAAGAAAAGGTTTGGGATTGAAAGACTGCTAAATTCTAGCACTTACTTAGCTGCCTACCCCCTCCATGATGTAAGTATGGATTCAGTTTTTTAACACTGAACCCATTTCCTTTTTCCCATATTCACTGGTTGCTTTATCAAGAGGATAATCCTTTTGCTTCCCTTTTTATTTCAAAATGCTTAATTATCTTTCCTGTTGTGAAAATTCCTGAAGCCTCCATGGTTCTGAACTGAGAACTTTACCAGCTATACTGAAACACTCAGTGGATGCCTTTGGACATTGAAATTTCAAATGGAAATTCATACAAAAGCATTACGTTTGCACATGAATTTTCTTAAGAAACCATTTTGAAAATTGAAATCACATCAGAAGAACATTTTAGAACATAATATTTGGAAATTTCTGTCTGAACCCATCAGATATTTCCTCATAAAATTTTGAAGCTGTAAAGGATTTAAATTATAGCCATTCGTGTATTCATTCATTGGATACCTAATTGGTTTCAATTATATGTAAAATATTCTGTTAGGTATTGTTGGACTACAACTATGAATCTGAATTTACAGACTACAAATTTTCTGGAAAAAAAGCATGTATACAACTGAAATACAAGCTAGAGACTTCAGACAATAAGATCAATTCTTACTAGTCACCACGACTCAGAAGAATTTTTTTTGGAGTAAAAAAAATCATTTTACAAAATATTGAGCTTTATAAATTCAACAAAAAAGTGACATTTCACATGATATACCCATTAAACCAAGCCTGAAAATGCTGCATGGCATCCAAGACTCTGCCTAGTGTCTGAGGGAGATCTTTCCATTTGGATAATCAGTATTTAAATTTCACCAACTCTTGGCAGTAGAAATCATGTGGCTGATCCACTTCCAAATCATCATTTGGATCTTTTCTCTTTTGTTCCAGTACCTATACAAGGCTTTTTGATGCTGCAATCTCTTCAGACAGGCCTTCCTCAGAAATACAGAAGAAACAAAATATTTCCATTGAAACAAATAGCAGCCAAATCATTTTCCAAATTTTTGGAAGGTAGAATTGTTATAATAGTTTCCAACACTTCAAAGCCAAAGTCTTTCTTAGGACTCAAATTATTATTCCAGCTTTTGTCTGTTAATCAATAATATTTAATTGACTCTAGGGTGATTGTCTTATTACTTTTGATATGTTTCCCATAAAGGTGGAGTAGAATTTTTCAAAATAAGTGACTGTTTTCAAAGGAGTGTAAATTCAGATACATGTAACTTAAGTGTTAGTGAAATCAAATATCCTCCTCCTTCCTCTAATGCCACCCCAAAAATACACACATTTTCCCCCTGGATCAAAAGAACTCATGGGGGATTATGATTATAAATAATTCCATTGGGTTAAAGCAGAGATATCTAAAGTAGTTTAATAAACACTTTACAACACATCTTTGTCGATCTTTCTTCACAAAAAGGCTCATCTCATTCTTCTTTGAAGATTTTGAATATTTTATGTTTATGTGTTTTTCGTGCAATGATTCTCTTCTTACTGTGCATGTCTCCTTACTATGGCTCTTCTCCTAAGCCAAAGTAATATGCTCAGTCACCAATAATTTTAATCTCTACACCTAACCTTTCATTAGACTGGAAATTTAATGTTACTGAACTGTCATTTGAGAAAGCTATATCTGAATGTTAATTTTACTTTTCTTTATTCTCTTCTTCTAAATGCAAGTTTAGGTATGGTACTTTCCTTCATGTGCTTTACAAAATCACTTTTATAACATACCTAAGTAGACTGCTTTTTTTTGTTGTTGTGTTTCTCATGATTCAGCAGAATCAGCTGCCGAAGAAGAAAAAAGTTAGAACTTGGATGATACAAAATCTTATGCCTTACTATCTAGAGATTTTTACATATGCTAAATTTTAAACAATATTCATTCAACATTACCTTCAGCAGTTCACTTGTTTATAGGAATAGTGGTGAAAGAATGTGTTAAAAGACTCCTGTATACGCTTAATGCTATAACGAGTACTCAAACAGTATATTTCACTTTGTGTTTCTATGGGGGTGCAAACGACTGAAATCTTTGCTTAATGTACACTAAACTGATCTTCTGTAAAAAAAAAAAAAAAAAAAAAAAGAAAGAAATTATCAATTCCCAACTTGACTCTCACTGGGATTAAACATGACAATAGGTCTGATCTGATTTCATCATCATTTAAAAAAATCATCTATTATTTTTCACTTTATGTTTCTGTGTGGGAGCAAACTGTTGAAATACTTACTTAAGGTATACTAAGCTGATCTTCTGTATATTAAGATAATCGAAAATGAATCTTGATGTGAATGGAAGGGGAGAGGGAGTGGGAAAGGGGAGGGTTGTGGGTGGGAGGGACGGTATGGGGGGGGGAGCCATTGTAACACATGAGTTGTACTTTGGAAATTTATATTCATTAAATAAAAGATTAAAAAAAAAAAAAAGAATGCTATTGAACCACTAGTTATATTATGTTTAGGTGGTGAATCGAGACCCTTACTTGTTTTTTTCCATATTTTCTATAAATTTAATTTTATAATATGGGTAACTAATATGCTGTATTTGCTATTAAAACTTTTAAAAGATTAAAAAAAAAAAAAAAGACTCCTGTATACGTAGTGCTTTGCTTGTTCTGCTTTTAAGGGACATTTATAAAAATAAACAATGGAGAAAGAACTCATGTATAAAACAATTCTGAAGCTCTTAAGTACTAAGGTTTGTTGTAGTATTTGAAGTTTGTTGGGAAATTGATATGAGTGATGGCCAGTGAGGAGAGTACAGGAGACTCTTGCAATAACAGTGTGACTTTGGATTGATGTTGTAATTTTGCATGGGATTTAATTTTTCCATCTAAAAATAAGTCCTGGTCTATTTGTAATGACCCAGCAAGTTATATAATGATACAAATCTCTGAGCTGTGAATATCATATTCAGATTTGAGTAGAAAAGGGGCGTTCCAGGTCAAAGGAACAACTTCAATAAAGCCAAAGTCTGAAACTTTAACTTGTATTTTTAGATAACTCAGTGAGAACTTAGTAAATCTTTTATCATAATATAGAAAATCCTTTACATGCATGGAATCTACAACCTAAATATAAAAATGAAACTGAACATTTGTCTTGTTCACTAAATTTCTCACATTAACTTCACTGTTGTTTTTGCTTTGTCCTTTATGAACCCTCTCCTGGAATATGTAGGGCCAATATTGGAAGCCATCAGAACCTCCCAATCCTGTCAATGAAAGGTATACACTTCACCAGAACTGGGCACGTTTTTCCTTTTTTTACAAAGAACAACCTTTAGATTTGATAAGGTAAGTTTCTTACACAGGAGTAGACCAACTTAATGATGTGAATTTTATTCACAATGGCATCACATTATATATATATATATATGTGTGTGTGTGTGTGTGTGTGTGTGTGTATGTATGTGTGTGTTAGCTGCTATTTTTCACCTAGTACATTTTTACAACTTCTTGGTTTTCCATCTACACTGTTCATTAGTAATTCACCTGGGAACAGAATATTGTTGCCCAAATCTATGAAAGATAATATAGCATGGTGGTTTGGAGGGTATGCTTAAGCATTTAATAATCTGAATTCTAATCTAAGTTCTGCCTCTTAAAAGCTATATAAACTTGGTAAAGTTGCTTATTCACTATAAGGAAAATTTGTAAAGTGGGAATAACAACACTACTTTTGGGATTATTTGATCATTAAATGGGATAAATATATGTTTTAGCATAGGGCCTAGCAGTCAGTACTCAATGCATGCTAGATTCGTTTTTGTCCTAGGCTCTAGAAATTTAGAAGGTAGGAGGATGGTTGTGTATGTAGGTATGTTCAAGTGTGTTGGTCTCAGAGAGCTGTAAAATACATTTGTTCTATGACCTCAATTCTTAGGACAGTATTGTTAGCTAAGTGAGAAGATTATGGTTGCAGTCTTGTTTAAACATAACAATACCATGCTTACACAGGCTGTTAGGAGATTGTTGCTGTGATTTTGGGAGATCTGCAATCAAATTGCAGATCCCTTGCTACTATAACCAGTTCTTTATACTTGATTTATGCTTTCTCTTCTAGTCTTGCACAGAACCCTAGCAACCATTTTGTGAAACTGATTTTGATGAATCCATCAAATCCATTGAAATGTTATCTCAACAGTTAAGGCAAATGAAAGGAGAAATTTTAAAAAATACATTTAAGGCACCTAACCTGTTTAAGGCATCTTAAACCTAACTGGTGCTTTTTAAAATCATTATTCATGTTCTTTTTTGGACAGCTATTTTCTTGTTTCGAATAATTATAATTTAACCTGTTAAGTTAAAAAAAGCACATTTATCAAAATAAGTTCAAGTAATAAAGAAATAGGCAAAGTTTTAAATGAAATCTCATCTCCATTGATCTCCACAGAAGTAACTACTTTTGATTGGTGTTTTCCATTTGGTCACATTTTTGTGTGGATGCTTAAGAAAGCATACACAACTCCAGGTTTTCCCTGGAAGATTGACTTCTTTATTACCTTTTTTGGACTGAGATTTTTCCCTAATTGATATATTATTTTCTACTAATACACAAAGATCAATCTCATATTTTTTCAGAGAATATAGAGATGCCTTATTAAGAATTTTTCATAATTTATTCACTTTTCTATTGAAAAATGTTAAGCTGTACTAAATTTTTCACTGTTGATAACAAGAATGGTTGCAGACATTTTACATACTCTTGGAATATATTTTCATAGAGTATTTTCAAAAAAATCAAAGTTGTCAGAATATTTTACATTGATTGAATATTTTACATTGATTGAATATTTTAATCTCACTGATTTTTCTCAACCTAGTCTGCTCTTGACACCCTCTATTGTATTTTTCATTTTTCATTTCCTTCACTGTGTTTTTCAGCACTAAGATTTCTATTCAATTTTTTATTTTCATTTGTCTATTAAGTTTGTCTATAAAATTTGTTAATTTTCTTGAAGTTAATTGAATCTTCTTAAAACAGTTGATGCTAAATTCTTCATCATGGAGGTCATATACCTCCATCTCTTTAGGTTCATCCTCTGGCTCTTGATTTTGTCCATTTGATGATGTCATGTATCCTTGGTTGTTCTTAATCCTGGAGTCCATGTATTGATGTGTTTCCATTGACAGTGTAGGTGTTTATTTCTGTCATCATAATCTGGCTTTGTCTGAGATTGTCCTTCTACAATAGTGTTATCCAAGAATTCTAAGAATGATTTTTGTGTTCCCTAAGCCTGAGGCCACTGTTGTTATCTATTACAATGGTAGAAGGCACCCTAAGCCTAGACGCATTGTGGCCAATATAGTCTCTTGTTCTATGAGGAGCTGGCACTGTGATGATGATCTGCTTCAGGGTTCTCAAATAGTGGGGTTGTTACCTGTGTACTGACAGATGTGTCATCCTCCATGTCTCTGGGAGGGATCATGTTGGATCATTAGATGGATATTTGAGATGTTTGTACTGATTTGAGTCCCTGACTGCAATGAGCCGGGACTGAGACTCACCATTGTAACAACTCCACGGCCAAGACCAAGATCCTTAGTCTTGTCTCTGGGTCACACATAGCTGTGTCTCCCAATGAATTCTTGGTTGATCAAGAATGATGTTGGATTGTGTTTGAGAAGAACTGTCACCAATTCCTAGAGCCATTTAAAGATCTAGTATGTGTTTGAGATTAGAGAGTAAGCCAGCAGAGTCACTACTGGGTGTGTTTCTTCTTGGTTCTTTAGGCAGGCTGAACTGCTATCAGTCTGCAGATCAGAGAGACTATGGCCAAGATCTGGGACATTTGAGGAACAGATATTGACAACCTTGTCACAATGATGAGTCTAAAAATGGAAATGTCTCCCAGCAGGTCTTTGGTGTGTAGAATTGCTCCGAAGTCACAGCTGGGAGGACAAAATGGAGCTTCAGGTCTAATTCAGAATCTCCAATACAATCAGTGTTTACCTTTCCAAACTTGAAGTGCTAGTGAGGAAGACTCCTTGCAGTTTCCTATGTAGGTAGGGTACTTGTGTACTGCAAACTTCTCTCAAACTATAGCTGAGAGATCCTGGAGCTGACAGTCAAGGTCCTATGCAGAATTTCTTTGGGACAAAGGTCATCAAGCCCATCTGGGTGCATCTCCCAAGAATTCCTTATACAGCCAACATAACTATAGGACTATAATAAAGAGGGGCTGGGGCCAAGGCAGGGTTCCTACAGGATCTGCTATGTTTCAGAGGCAAGAATGCCTGCCCTTCTTGCTCAAGAGTAACTCTAATCCTTGTGAGCTGTACCATGCTGGACCCAGAGCTAAGTGCAGCTGGAGTTGAGTTACATGGTAACTTTTGGGTCCAAGGCTGGTGTTAATGTTGACAGCAGAAGAACCTGCCTGCTACTGCACATTACATACATGACTCTTCCAGGATCTCTTTGCAGATGGTTTTGGTTGCAGGCTGAAGATCTAATGAGGTTATTGTGAAGAACTTCAGAGAAGGAACTGTTTCCAGTTTAGATCCTGGTAGCATGATTCACAGGTCTGAAGCCCAGGTACAGAACTTCACTCTGAAAAAGACTTCTTGCCTCTTACCTGAATCCAAAGACTCTCACAAAGAGTCTTTTGTTTGTGAATAGAGCAGAATATTGTTATTGTCGGCAGTATTACCAGGTGACCTCTTATTCCTCTATCTGGTGATGTCACTTTTGACTGCTACTCATTTTTGCAGCATCAATTGTATCTTCTAGTTCACTGATGAATTCTTTATTGGATTAGTTTGTTATTGATTCTCTAAGGCTACTGGGGTGTACTTTCATGTCCTCTTTAAACAAAAATGTTTTATTTTTTCTTTATCAATTCTCATATATCTAATTATTTTCTCTTGGTTAACTATGTTGACTAATATCTCTAAAACATAGCAGTGGAGATAATGGGTAACCTTGTCTTATTCCTTATTTTGATAGAAATGTCTCCAGTGTGTCTTTATTAAGTAAGAAATTTCTCTTGTATATTTTTGTACTTGTTTCTTTCTTTTAAACTGATTTTTTTAACAGATTCATGTCTTGGAATTGATTGTTCTACCCTTTGAATGTGTAGCTTCTGTTTGTGTATGATTAATTTTTATGTCTGAAGATTTTTCTTAGATTGTACTCTTAAATGTGCTCATTTCCAATATTTTAATTACTTTTTGTAGTTTAATTTTATCCATGTTTAATCATTTTAGTCTGTATTCATTTCAAATAGTTTTTCTGTAATTTTTTATTTCTAAATCAAATTTTTCTTCTTTTGATATAGTTCTTATATAATTTTTTTTAATTTTTATTTTTTTTTTATTTTTTTTAAACTTTTATTTAATGAATATAAATTTCCAAAGTACGACTTATGGATTACAATGGCTTCCCCCCCATACCGTCCCTCCCACCCACAACCCTCCCCTTTCCCACTCCCTCTCCCCTTCCATTCACATCAAGATTCATTTTCGATTATCTTAATATACAGAAGATCAGCTTAGTATACATTAAGTATGGATTTCAACAGTTTGCTCCCACACAGAAACATAAAGTGAAAAATAATAGATGATTTTTTTTAAATGATGATGAAATCAGAGCAGACCTATTGTCTTGTTTAATCCCAGTGAGAGTCAAGTTGGGAATTGATCATTTCTTTTTAATTTTTTTTTTTTTTACAGAGGATCAGTTTAGTATGCATTAAGTAAGGATTTCAACAGTTTGCACCCCCCATAGAAACACAAAGTGAAATATATTGTTTGAGTACTTGTTATAGCATTAAATCTCAATGTACAGCACATTAAGGATAGAGATCCTACATGAGGAGTAAGTGCACAGTGACTCCTGTTGTTGACTTTACCAATTGACACTCCTGTCTATGGCATCAGTAATCTCCCTATGCTCCGGTCATGAGTTTCCAAGGCTATGGAAGCCCTCTGAGTTCTCCGACTCTTATCTTGTTTAGACAAGGTCATAGTCAAAGTGGAGGTTCTCTCCTCCCTTCAGAGAAAGGTACCTCCTTCTTTGAAGACCTGTTCTTTCCACTGGGATCTCACTCGCAGAGATCTTTTGCCAGAGTGTCTTGGCTTTCCATGCCTGAAATACTCTCATGAGCTTTTCAGCCAGCTCCGAATGCCTTTAGGGCTGATTCTGAGGCCAGAGTGCTATTTAGGACATCTGCCATTCTATGAGTCTGCTGAGTATCTCACTTCCCATGTTGGATCACTCTCCCCTTTATTTACTCCATCAGTTAGCGTTAGCAGGTACTAGACTTGTCTATGTGCTCCCTTTGACTCCCAGTCCC